TGTGCATCACACTTCAACCAAATTCTCTTATTTCCAAAAACATAACTTCTTTCTACCTCTTCTTGAAGTTATTACCTCCATGCAGAAATCCTCATCTGCACCTCCTGCTGGTAAAATTCAATTTATCCAGAATAGGAATTAATTTGAAACCATTATTTATGTTAAACATTATATATGTGAAATTTATRTATGTTAAACATTAGGATTAATCCTATGTAAAATCATAAATGTAAAACAATTTGAACAAAATTTTAAAGTTGATAATGTGACAATACTAAAATACTATCAACTATGCAAACTATGCAAATTTCAAGACTCAGCATAGAGTTCTTATACTTTAACTTAGCATTTCCACTTATTTTTTTCCTTAAGGATATTGTCTCAAGTTTTGATTAAAAAGATATTACCTAGAGAAAGATAAGAATTATAAAATTATAATATCAAATAAATAAAAACAATCTAATGCCCAGTAGGGAAAGAATTTACTGAAAGATCTCTACCAATTTGAACATTTTATAACCATTAAAAATAATCATTYCCCAACACCAGACACACAAAAAGCAAAGCAAAAATGATTCTTATAAATATTATGTATGTGAATATAATAACATGTGAGTTAAACCAAAAACATAAAAATTATGTAGGTTAACTTTTTGACCAAACAGAAAAACTTCAGGGGGAAGCAATTAGTATAATAATTGTGTTATATTGACACTAGTATATAGAGAAAAGATTTTTTATCCTTTATATTTTTCACCAAGTTTTTTATGTATAAAAAATAAGAGAAATGCCTTTTTAAGGGGATCCCAAACACCATGTATTCTACAAAACTGATTTTTCTATCTTTAAAACAAATGATGTTTCCTTCTCTGACAGACTACCTCATGGCTTGAATTATGTTTTCTGATGGAACTCAGCTTGACTATCCTTGAGTATTTCTATTTGTTCCTGTCCTCTTTATATGATAATTAAGATACAGTGTGTGTCTTTCTTTGATGTTTAGGGATCCTGGAACACCTGTATGTTGCATATAATAACAGTAAATGTCAAATAAGGAAATAAAGTGCAGGTTGAGTTTCTAGACTGAAACTTTGAAATCTAAAAAGACACTTCTGGCCCTGTTTTTCTTACATCAATGTTTTTGCTCATCAGAGAACATGAGGTGTTGACTCTAGTACCTTCAGGCTTACATAATAGTCAACCTTAAAATATATAATTCTCTTATCCTTTCTGGAGAGGCTGGCATGCTCCAGGAGTGAAAAGACTGTTTACTTAGCTGTCTTGAGTATTAGCAACCCAGGGTTACTCCAAGTTGAATTCAGTTACTATACAAAGAACCTATGAAGACTTTTAGTGGTAGCCACAAGATGAGAAATCCAGACAGAGAAAGGGAGAGATAGAAATAGAGATAGAGATGGAGATGGAGATGGAGACAAGAGAGAGAAATATAGTTGGGTAAGARGAAAGGAGAGAAATAGAGAAGGAGAAATAAAAAGAAGTAAGTGTGTGTGTTTGTGTACTTACCTGTGTGGATCCACATGACCTCTTGCATTTACAGCAATGCTTTGTGAATTTGATTCAGAAACCTGTAAGTTCATATTGAAATTATCTTTCACTCTAATCCCCTTTGTTTATATGGGCTGCTAACAGATAAAGTCTATGCCTCCTTTATACTTTCAAAAATACTGAATTCATTATGATAAAAAATAAATGTTGAAAATAACTTAAATCTAAATTATGGGATCTTAGTTATTTCTATTTTTGTTTTGTTTACATAGTGCAGCCAATTGGACAACATTGGTGACCTCCTATTTCACTCAACAGCTTTCTATTTGCAAATTTGGGCAACTTGATAAGCTATTGATTCTTAGTTCTGTCATTTATAAAGTGGAGCTATTGCTGGGCACAGTGATACACACCTGTAATCCTAGCAACTCAGGAGGTTGAGGCAGAAGGATCATCAGTTCAAGACTAACCTCAGTAACTTAATGATGCCCTAAATAATTTAGTGAGACTCTGTCTAAACATTTCAAATAAAGTAGAATTAAGAGGCCTGGGGGATGTGGCTTAGTGGCTAAGTACCCTTAGGATCAATCCTCAATTGATCAATCCCCAATTTAATTAAGTAATTAAAGTCAATTAGAAAATTATATTAAAAAAAATGGAGGTAGTATCTTCCCAACATGAAGGATTGGCCTGAAGATTAAAAATAATGTATTATGTTAGCATTCAGAACTGTGATTACTAAGTGTCCTCATTGTTAAAAAACAACATAAATATTAAGAGCAAATTAAACCAATGAATAAAACAATTATTCCTTTTCTAGTTTATTAATTAAATTATGACACAGGGAATATATTGAATTCAAAACTCATTGTGAAACTATTTAGGACTGTTAGATTAATTTTGATTATGCTGAATCATTTTTATTACAATAACAACCATATCACCAGCGTTTGCAATGCAAATTCTGTGGTATTGTTGGATACATTGTAGGCTTTCTACTACCTTTGAAAGAACACAAAGACACCATCTCTTATGCTCATGAAGGTTTATCCTTAATAACAAGAAAATGTCATGAGTTGTCACTTAAAAAATTATTTATAATTTGCCTGGCACCTTACAAAACATTTATAAATTGTCTCATTTAAATATTGATATGACTTCCAAAGTAGATAATTAAGATTCCTAAGATGAAAAAAGCCTTCCCCGAATTCATTTTCTTAGATTTACCACTTATTAGTTCCACTTACATAAAAATTACTAACAAATGTTTCCTTTGGCACAAGTCACTGCTTCCATAGTTTCATAAGTCTCAGCAAAATAGAATTTTACAAGATATCAAAAATATGTTTATTACCTGTTGTGGTTATTAATTTGCACATTATCAGAATTTTAAATATTTTTTGCTTGCTGGATAGTACAATTTCATTCACTTATACCTATACTAATTTCCTTTTTAGCCTAATATTATTGAGGATTATGAATGATCAGCTGATGTTTCTGGAACGGGCATTCATTGATCCTTTAGGGTTACCAGACAGGCCTTTCTATAGGTAAGAAAGAAAATATGACTCTTCACTTTAATATCACATTTTAAAAATGTTGTGCACTGTGGAAAAAAATATAAAAATTGATTTCTT